TTTTTTCCAATATGCATTATTTTACATTTGTCCACATTAAATTTAATTTGCCATTTTGTTGCTCAGTCACTTAGTTTGGTGAGATCTTTTTGAAGTTCTTCACAGTCTGCTTTGGTCTTAACTATCTTGAACAGTTTAGTATGGTCTGAAAATTTTGCCACCTTACTGTTTCCCCCTTTCTCCAGATTATTTATGAATACATTGAATAGGATTGGTCCTAGGACTGACCCTTGGGGAACACCACTAGTTACCCCTCGCCATTCTGAAAATTTACCATTTATTCCTGTCCTTTGATTCCTGTCTTTTAACCAGTTCTCAATCCATGCAAGGATCTTCCCTTTTATCCCATGACAACTTAATTTACTTAAGAGCCTCTGGTGAGGGACCTTGTCAAAGGCTTTCTGGAAATCTAAGTACAGTGGAAATCTAAGTACACCCGGTAATCCGACACTGTGCTTTATCCGACCCTGCAAAGTCCCCAGGAGCTGTCCACTTCTCAGTATTGCTAAAGAGAAGATACTGGTTTTTAGTTCTAGTAGTTTCAGTATCTGTGCTCCTCTCACAAGTGATAATTGCAAGATTTAGAATTACATCAGTAAGGTACAAAATATTCCCATGAAATTCCTCTCCCTGATGGAAAGAGAGAACTGAGTCTCAAAGAGCAACTTCTATAAACTAAAAACATATACTTATTTGTAATTACATTGTATTGTCATTGTGGGGAAACCTTGTAAACGAATGAAAATTAAGATTCTTATCTTGACAGATTTTCTAGTCTGTGGGAAAATGCTGTTTAGTTTAAAAATTTCTATTGGTAGCTTAGTTTTTCTTCCTTGGTTTTTTGGAAGAAATTGAATACATAATATAAAATACTTCATTTTCATTTTTTTTAGGGAACAAAAATAAAGGCTAAAATATAATAAACTAGAAAAAATTGTGAACACGAGCAAAATCTAAAACCACAATAGAAATGAGAAATGAAGAATCTCCAAAATCTATTTTCACCTAATTTTTCACGTTTGTAAACAAAGACAGGCATAAAACTAATACTAAGAATTTTAGGAGATACCAAGATGGTGGCCTCAATTACCTCTTGTCATACTGGTCAGAAGTGTGTTGAAATATTAAAAAAAAACAAACTCTGTTTTTCAACAAAATACAAATGCTCTTTTTATGTCACCTCTAAACAGATACTTGTAACATTCTCATGGTGCTGATATCTTTGCTTCTAAGAACTATTGCTTACAGCAGCATATTCAAACATTTTGCGCTAAAAAATATTTAGACTTCTTCTTAGAATCATAGAGCTGGAAGAGACCTCAGGAGGTCATCAAGTCCAGCCCCCTACCCAAGGCAGGACCAATCCCAACTAAATCAACCCAGCCAGGGCTTTGTCTAGCCGAGACTTAAACACCTCTAGGGATGGAAACTTCACTACTTCTCTAGGTAACCCATTCCAGTGCTTCACCACCCTCCTAGTGAAATAGTTTTTCCTAATATCCAACCTAGACCTCTCCCACTGTAACTGGAGACCATTGCTCCTTGTTCTACCATCTGTCACTACTGAGAACAGCCTCTCTCCATCCTCTTTAGAATCTCTTTTCAGGAAGTTGAAGGCTGCTATCAAATCCCCCCTCACCCTTCGCTTCTGCAGGCTAAACAGACCCAAATCCTTCAGTTTCTCCTTATAGGTCATGTGCTCCAGTCCCCTAAGCATTTTGGACCCCCTCCAATGCGTCCACATCCTTTCTATAGTGGGGGGGCCCAGAACTGGACACACTACTCCAGCGGTGGCCTCACCAGAGCTGAATAAAGGGGCCTTCTTGGCTACAAGGGCACACTGTTAATTAATATCCAGCTTCTCATCCACTGTAATCCCCAGGTCTTTTTCTGCAGAACTGCTACTTAGCCAGTCGGTCCCCAGCCCATAACAATGCTAGGTCACTCTGGACCCTAACCCTGCCCTCCAGCGTATCTACCTCTCCCCCTAGCTTAGTGTCATGTGCAGACTTGCTGAGGGTGCAATCCATCCCCTCATCCAGGTAATTTATAAAGATGTTGAACAAAACTGGTCCTAGAACCGATCCTTGGAGCACACTGCTAGAAACCGACCACCAACCTGACATCGAGCTGTTGATCACTACTGGTTGGGCCCAACATTCTAGCCATCTTACAGTCAAGTTATCCAGTCCATACTCCCTGAACTTGCTGGCAAGAATATTGTGGGAGACCGTATCAAAAGCTATAGGTATATCACATCCACTGATTTTCACATATCCACAGAGCCAGTTACATCGTCATAGAAGCTAATCAGATTGGTCAGGCATGACTTGCCCTTTGTGAATCCATGTTGACTGTTCCTGATCACTTTCCCCTCTTCCAAGTGCTTCAGAAAGGATTCCTTGAGGATCCCTTCCATGATTTTTCCGGTAACTGAGGTAAGGCTGACAGGTCTGTAGTTCCCTGGATTGTCCTTCTTCCCCTTTTTAAAGATGGGTACTACATTTGCCTTTTTCCAATCAGCTAGGATCTCTCCTGATTTCCACGAGTTTTCAAAGATAATGGCCAAAGGCTCTGAAATGACACTTGCCAACTCCCTCAGTGCCCTCGGATGCATCCGGGTCCATGGATTTGTGTATGTTTAGGCTTTTCTAAATAGTTCCTAACTTGTTCTTTCCCCAGCAAGGGCTGTCCACCTCCTTTCCATACTGTGTTGCCTAGTGCATTAGTCTGGGAGCTGACCTTGGCTCTGAAGACAGAGGCAAAGAAAGCATTGAGTACTTCAGGTTTTCCCACATCGTCTGTCACTAGGTTACCTCCCTCATCCAGTAAGGGCCCAACACCTTCTCTGATCACCTTCTTGTTGCTAACATGCCTGTAGAAACCTTTCTTGTTACCCTTCACATCTGTTGCTAGCTCTTGTTATGCCAAACTTAAAATGAGGAAAAAATAGAGAAAATGCCCTTTAAAAATTGTGAAGGTGCTGTTGTGGAAAGTCTGCAAAATCAGGATATCAGAGTTTCTGTAAATCCCATGAGTGCACACCACATTTTTTAATTGTTTTCCATTAAAAAATCAAAAATCTAATTAGAACTAAAACATCTTATTCGAACTCAAAGTGTTTAATTTTTGTTAGCTCAGTGCAATTTGGCAGAGAATTCTTGGTGACTCCATCATTCCTCTTTGTGGAATATTTTCAAAACATGTAGAGATAAAATTTGTTTTCTCTTGTATTTGGTACATAGCAGCATCTAAGCATTTTAAATAGTATTTGATTTGTAAACTTTTTGTACTCAGTTGAAAATAAAGGATGTTATAATTCTGGGTACGTCTAGACTGCAAGCTTCTTTAGAAAGAGAGCATCCCCACCTCAAAACTGGATCAAAAAAGCAATCTGCTTTTTCAAAAGAGTGCTCTCTCAAAAGCCCTGATTGCTATTCACAGAATGGCCACCAGGGTACCTGTGCTTTTTTTGGCTGCCTCTTCTTTCGTAAAATGTCCCCGTTCTGCGTCCACACACACCTTTTTTTGAAAGCACTCTTCCTTGCTCTTCCTCGTAATTTGAGGTTTACCAGTGTTGGAAAACCCCCTGTGTTCTTTCGATTTATTTCAAAAGAACTCAATTGCAGTATGGACAGAGGTGAAATTTCTTCGAAAAGGCAGGTTTTTTCGAAAAAACAATGTAGTCTAGACATACCCTGACTGTGTAACATTTCTGGTGATAGAGGAAAGGTAGATTTAATCTGATGGTGTATCTGTTTCTCCTTTCCATTGAAAATATCAATGTCCATAGGTGTTGCAGAATGTTGCCTTTGTAAAGATGCAGTACTCGGTGTAATCATAGTAGTATGCATTACGAAACAGTGGATTTAGAAGTTCCTTGAGCAAGTTTAAATTCCACTATCAGAGAAAGGGCCATGCTACACTGAACAGGCATAGTCTCAGTTTTAAGAAAAAGGAGACAAGACAGGATCCAAACTCTGAAATCCAGGTCTAACACTTGGAAATTCAAGGTTTTGTTTGGTTTGAATCCATTTCTGTTTGTTTGGGAATATACGATGATGGTAGTTCATATTTCCAGACACCAGATAGTGTTACCTTTCTACATAAGGTGTCATTTTCAGTTAATGAACACTGAGGTTGGTTCCTAATCCCATTTTAACATCCATGAGCCAGATTCTTCATTGACCATTTTGACTGCATGTAAGTGTTTCAGAATTTAACTCCTTGGTAACTTATTGATGTACATCATTTTTCCTCATTTCACTGTTAATTAAAGCCTCTTAGGGTCAATACTTACGTTTTTACATCCAAGCATTTTCAGTCTGATTAGGCAAAAACTTCAGTAGGGTGATACTCAGTATTGAATGCCTCCTAAATATGTAATATATATTTTGTGCATCTATTAACTGTTAGTAATGGCTCAAGGGAAGGAGTTTATGTCAATTTCAATGTTTTGTGTTGGGTTAGGTGACCAGTAACAATGTAGAGATCAAATAACCATGTTAATTGCATAATTAAGAGTGGGTAGGCCTCCACAGATTAGTTTCTGTGTGCTAGAAGCATAAACTGGCATATAAAAGACTGGTATCAAATGGCTACGAGTTTCCTATTGCTAGCATTTAACAAGAGAAACCTTGGTACAGTTTTGTTGCATGTCTACACTATAGTAGATTACTCCTGTGATACTGCAGATCAGTGGATAATCTTGCATTTTTAAAAACCTTGTGCATTACTAAGATATTATATAGCACAATAAATCATAAGTTAATGCTATTGAAACATATTGATATTAACATGCTGCAATAATTGTTCAACTGCAAACGGATTTGATTATCTAGTTCACCTCAAAACTTCAACATATCTAAAGTTCCCTTTTAAAAAAAAATAAACAAAAGCTTTTTCAGTTATTTAAATGCTTGATAGTGAAAGAGTAAATATGTTGTTAGATTTTTTTCCCCCCATATCACTTGTTTACTGATCTTTATTTCTTTATTTAGATCCTCATATTAAAGTTTCTGGAAAAAAAGAAAATGTTAAAGAAGCTAAAGAGAAGATCATGTCCGTCTTAGACACAAAAGTAAGAAAATTAGTTTAAAAATGGAGACCTAAGCCTAAATCCTGTGTGCAGGCCCATTTTTCTATGCCATAGTGATGCTAAATTCTGGAGGACTTACAATAAATTTAAAAGGCAGAAGTTTTGATTAAAATTTTACATTAAAATTATATGGTTAGTATAACGTCCTTTGTGGAGTGGGGGTGTAGATACTGAATGCAGTACACTTCCATTTGAACCTGTTTTTTAGCTCTGCGCCATTCACATTTGGGGAAGGGTGAGATTTTCCTTATTCTGTTAGCTAAAAACTTAAACTGAGTTTTATCTTTAAAAAATTCAGTCAAACTCCACTTCAAGTAGTGGATTGTGTGGCCAATTATGTCCTAAGGGAGTGTGGAAAGCATGGCGTATTTTCCTAATTTTTAGATTTCAGCAATAAGTCATTGAGCATGAGGAATTTGAGTATAAAGGGGTTTGCTAAATAAATGGGTGGGGCTATGTTATATTCACAGATTTAAGTGTTTCACAATATTAGAAATTGGCAGATCATTCTGTCTGCATTCAGATATTATGGTGATCTAAACATTATATATGTAAATGTTTAGCTAGGTGTAGGACAAATGCTAATATAACAGAAAAACAGACCAAGAACTCAAAGCTTATTTGGAAAGTGGAGTTGATATTCAAAATGCAAGGTAGTGTTCAAAAGAAAAGTCTAAGGCAATCTCACTGAGTACAAAAGGAAGAGTCAATTTATTATTCAGGCTCAAAATGCACATATTCAGCAAGATAGTTTTGCCATCTTTACCTAAATACACTTTTTCTCCCTTATTTTCAATGCTGCTGCTAGCATTTCAAAGCTAGTAGTAAGACATATGCTATTAAGTATTGACTTCAAACTGATTGAGATCTCTCCAGTTTGTAGGGTAATTTTTAATTTTATGGAGGTAATCTCCTCTGCAAATCTTTTCAAAGATAATCTTCTCTTCTGTACGGAAATGTGCTTTAGGGCTGAAAATTCCATGATGGTCCAAGAGATAGCTAGATCAACTGGTACTCAGGGACTTTTAATTATGAAGGCCCAGGTCTTGCCACAGATACACTGGAGAGAACTGTGTACTCTGTTTAAAATTACAAGTCCAATTATCTCTGGCAATTTTAAAGTCCAAGCAGGCTTATAAAAGATAAATATAAATGCTGGATGATCATCATGTTAAATGTATAACTCGATGCCGGGGGGTTATCAGGAAGGCGAAAGCACAATTGGAATTGCTACTGGCTAAGGATGTGAAGGATAACAAGAACAGTTTCTACCGTCATGTTAACAAGAAGAAGGTGATCAGAGAGGATGTGGGGCCCCTACTGGATGAAGAAGGTAACCTAGTGACAGATGATGTGGGGAAAGCTGAAGTACTCAATGCTTTCTTTGCCTCTGTATTCACGGACAAGGTGGGCTCCCAGACTAATACGCTAAGTGATGCAGGATGGGATGAAGATGGACTGCCCTTGGTGGGTAAAGAACAGGTTAGGAACTATTTAGAACAGCTAAACATACACAAATCCATGGGTCCCGGACTTAATGCATCCGAGGGTACTGAGGGAGTTGGCAAATGTCATTGAGGACCCTTTGGACATTATCTTTGAAAAGTCGTGGAGATTGGGAGAAATCCCGGATGATTGGAAAAAGGCAAATGTAGTGCCCACCTTCAAAAAAGGGAAGAAGGACGATCCAGGGAACCATAGGCCGGTCAGTCTTATCTCGGTTCCTGGAAAAATCATGGAAGGGATCCTTAAGGAATCCATTTTGAGGCACTTGGATGAGAGGAAAGTGATTAGGAATAGTCAGCATGGATTCACAAAGGGAAAGTCGTGCCTGACCAATCTGATTAGCTTCTATGATGAGGTAACTGGCTCTGTGGATGTGGGAAAGTCAGTGGATGTAATGTATCTTGACTTTAGCAAGGCTTTTGATACAGTCTCCCACAGTATTCTTGCCAGCAAGTTAAGAGAATGTGGATTGGATAAATTGACAGTAAGATGGATAAAAAGATGGCTAGAAGGCCGGGCCCAGCGGGTAGTGATCAACAGCTCGATGTCAGGATGGAGGTCGGTTTCTAGCGGAGTGCCCCAAGGTTTGGTTCTAGGACGGGTTTTGTTCAATATCTTTATTAATGACCTGGATGAGGAGATGGATTGCACCCTCAGCAAGTTTGTGGATGACACTAAGCTAAGGGGAGAGGTAGATACGCTTGAGGGCAGAGTGACTTAGACAAATTGGAGGATTGGGCCACAAGAAATCTGATGAGGTTCAACAAGGACACGTGCAGAGTCCTGCAATTGGGATGGAAGAATGCCAAGCATAGTTAACTGGTCGGTCCCCAGCTTGTAAGTAGTAGTTCTGCAGAAAAGGACCTGGGGGTTATGGTGGATGAGAAACTGGATATGAGTCAACAGTGTGCCCTTGTAGCCAAGAAGGCTAATGGCATATTAGGTTGCATTAAGAGGAGCATTGCCAGCAGATCCAGAGATGTCATTATTCCCCTTTATTCAGCTTTGGTGAGGCCACATCTGGAGTATTGTGTCCAGTTCTGGGCCCCCCACTACAAAAAGGATGTGGACACATTGGAGAGGGTCCAGTGGAGGGCAACCAAAATGATTAGGGGGCTGGAGCATATGACTTATGAGGAGAGGCTGAGGAAGTTGGGTCTGTTTAGTCTGCAGAAGCGAAGAGTGAGGGGGGATTTGATAGCAGCCTTCAGTGAGGTTCCAGAGAGGATTGAGAACAAGGAGCAATGGTCTCAAGTTGTGGTGGGAGAGGTCCAGGTTGGATATCAGGAAAACTATTTCACTAGGAGGGTGGAGAAGCACTGGAATGGGTTACTTAGGGAAGTAGTGGAGTCTCCATCCCTAGAGGTGTTTAAGTCTCAGCTTGACAAAGCCCTGGCCGGGTTGATTTAGTTGGGATTGGTGCTGCCTAGAGCAGGGGGCTGGACTTGATGACCTTCTGAGGTCTCTTCCAGCTCTATGATTCTATAATCATCAAGCTGGAAACTTTCCTTATGTTGGACCCATAAGAAATGGCACTCATTTTGAGTTGTAGTGACTATTCAGTGGGCTACCTTCTTACGCCTCAACACCAATGCAAATACGAGAATATATTTTGAAGTCACAAGTGTTCAAACAATGAGCTGATCTCGATGCATTTTTAGTTTTGTCTGTCATAACTATCAGATTTCTCAGCTCAGAAACTCCAGTTTTAGTGTACTTTGTTGATCTCATCAGTTCCTGGTGCCTTGATAAGTTTTGGGGGAGGCCTTGTATTGAAATTATGGGCTCCAGTGTTTAATTGCGTATGATGATGGTGGAGACGAACATGCAAGGAACCATATAGCAACGTAAGGAGAAAGGTTAGGGTATGGTGGGAAAAGGAGAGAGACTGCTTGCTGATCTAGAGATCAAACCTCAAATACATTAACTGAAATTTACATACTCACCACACATTCATTCTTCCATATAGCAGGGAAGCAGCAGGTGGGGACCTACTTGGGAGACAAGGAGTTCCTCATATTGCCTGGAGAGCAGGAAAAGGAATATAAATTGGAGGCAGGGAGACTTGTGTGTATGGTTGTACGTAAGTTACAATTTCAGTCAGATCTGTAAGAAATAGCTGTTCTAATATTTTGAGTAAAAGAGAAATTGGGAAATACCCCTTTTGAGAATTGGCCAATCAGCCTATCGAGCTGTTTCATGTAGGTAGTTTGTTAGCACATTGCATCTTTCTATAGCGCAGTGTACTGCATGTTTGTGGCAAAGGGTCAATTTTAGTTTGTTGAACATTAGGGACACTTTAACCTGCTATGAAATGAGTGTTGTACTGTTAGGGATTCTCCTTACCTTGAGTTTAGCTTCCTTTTTCCTGCTCCCCAAGCCAAATGGATAATCCTGATGCCCCAATATACGTTTTACAGTGGTCTAGCTACACAGAAAGTCCCAGAAAACAATTGTTTTTTAAATTATTTTTTTAAACCGTGAGTTTATTATTTTGTTATATTCTATTTTTTAAATGTTGGTTTTAATAGTCTGAACCACAAGTACTGAAGCTAGATCCTGTATGAGGCCATACATTTCTGATATCTCCCTCGCCACATCAGATTTGCACACTTCTTAATATGAGCCTCTCCTATGCAGTGGCTGTCATTACTGCCTAGCTGTATGGTGACCTAGTGATCACCAAACTGAGGTCATTCTATATAATTAAACCATTCCTTATAGTTAACAAGGCCAAATTGTTTTCATCAAACTACTTTGTGCAGATTTGTATTTAAAATGGCAGAGTTGTAGATCCAACCCCCCAAAAACCCACCCCCTCACATTATTGAGAATCCTGAAATATGAAAGTTATGGTCATAAGAGAATTAAAATAGTTTTTCTAGCTCTTTATTTGAAAGTTTGAAAACTCAACTGCATCTTATTTTGAGTAAACTAAAACGCCTCGGTACTTCTGTTGATATTTCTTAACCTAGTGCAACTCTCATTGACCATTCTTTAAAAAGTGTTTCGTGAACCTGATGGCACAGGAATCAAATGTATTTAATTCCACGCTGATTTCCTTATCAGAAAGAAATTATTCATGGTTTAGCAATTAAACACATCTTAATTGACAACATTGACAACTGTCTTAATTGAGGATAAGCCGTTTTTAAAATATTCTGATGACCTCTTTATATGTATAGTTATATAAATATAATTTAATACAAAATACTGATGCTAATCTCTTCCATTCTGAAGACTCCAATAATAAATAGATGTTTTGACCCTTAGAGTAATCGAGTCACCCTGAAGATGGATGTTTCACATACAGAACATTCTCATGTGATTGGCAAAGGTGGCAATAACATTAAAAAAGTGATGGAAGAAACAGGTTGTCACATCCATTTTCCAGACTCAAATAGGAATAACCAAGCTGAAAAGAGTAACCAAGTAAGTATTTCTTATTGTATGTATATTTTCAAGTATATATGCCTAGAGAATTGTTATGGTGGGGCTCTGTCTGCTGGAGCTGTACCTTCAGACCAGAAGTCAGCAACCTTTTCAAAACAGAGCCAAACTACATAAAAATTCAGAACAAGTGGTCAAAAAAATCTGTACGAGAATGACCATTTGCATGACTGAAAATATACAACTTAATATTTTTGATAATCGACATAATGATTACTAATAGCACAAATAAAACATTTTACTCACAGACTTTATTTAAAGATACTTGTACTGCTGCATCCGTTTGCACATTTCTTTGAAGTTTACATTATAACTGGTCAAATCCAGCTTTATGTGCACATTCAGGCTGCAGGAAGGGTGGGGAGAAGGCATGTAGCTGATAAAATTAACCAATAAGCCCAGGCTAATTATATAGTTGACTACACAGTGATATCCCTAGTCATTATAGTATACTAATAATTTGTTCGGGCATTTTTTAAGACCTGTAAATAACTACAATAGAAACTATGGTTCCATATCAACCTTAAGATCTACAGAATAGTAATTGCAAAGTTAGTTCTGAATGGCTATTACGGTTTCTTCAGTTGCTTATTTGAAATTTTCAGAATGTTGTAGATTTGTGGCATAAAAATCAATATATAAAAATAGCCCTTTACTGGAGGGATTCAGTTTTCAACTACTGTTTTAGAAAATACCTCAGATGCCAACCGAAATATAATACATATACAAATAACAAATACTTGGAGACTTTTTCAGTTACTTTATATGAAAACTTAATACTGTGCTGTCTGTGTCCTGACTTTTCCAGGTATCTATTGCAGGCCAGCCAGCTGGAGTGGAATCTGCCAGAATTAGAATACGGGTAACTGTATTTCACTAGCTCCCATGCATCTCAAAGACATTGGAGGTAGAAGAAGTCAGGGGATAAGGGTGGAAAATTATCGTTCAGTTCCAAGTATTAACCAGCTCTGTGTTGTGATCTCTATGCATATTGTAAATCCCAAAATTGCAAGAAAATAATATCAGCTATATTCACAATGAATATTAATTTGTTTTCATTATTTTAATTATCTGATTTTAAACAATAATGCAAAATATGCATAAAGGACTCATGAGTTCTGTATGTGTATGTTTTGAGAATGTTGGCATCCATCTGGATGAAATACAAAACACTGAAGTGACCTATGTTTAGTCACCTTATGCATCTAAACCAATTTAAAGCCTGAATTTAGTGTCATCTATATTAACTAGATTTAATCTTGCAGTCCTTATACTAAAAATGATTTAGTTGGGGTTGGTCCTACCTTGTGCAGGGAGTTGGACTAGATTATCTCTGAGGTCTCTTTGAACCCTAATACTTTATGATTCTATCATTAAGAACAATGTGGTAAATTCGCCCTCTGCCGACTACTTTAAAATTCAAGCTAATTGATTGAATTTTAATTGCTATATACAGTAAGTGTAATTAACGTGGTACACTGTAGCAAAATAAAAGTTCCACCAACACATTCTGCACTGATTTCCTCCTTCATAACAATGTCTTCTGATTTTTTATGAATCTCTCACAATTGTGTGTAAATGGGCACTGTATGTTAAACCTTATGATATTATGAACATTTTAATGTTCTGTACTTTTATATACATTAAGGCTGCATGTTTGTTGTGACATAAACTATGACTTATAGGACCTTTCCCTGAAAGTCATTAATTTTATAATCCCAGCCATCCCACTATGGAGCAAGATCCCTGCATGAATTTCTAGAAAAGTAGTTCAACATATAGTATGTAGGAATAGAAGAGTGTGGGAATGTGACATGTTGTTTTTGCTTGGGGATTTTTTTCCCCACATTTATTTGCAAAAAATCTCTCTGGCTTCTTGCAGTTTTTTTTTCTAACAACGTATGACATTCCCACTTTTTTCCCTGCAGGGTAATGAGGTTTTATTTTCTATTTGCTTGTTATAGCAAACAACTTGCCTTGGATTATGTCAACAAACTGACTTTTCTGTAAAGGAAGTTCATGGAGATTGTAGATAGTCTAAATGTTATCCCAGCAGAAGATAGAAAGTTCTAAAGCGTTATTAAAGTAGTGGTAGCCTGAGTAAATGTTATAGTGCTTTCAATACATGCTATGCTTTTTCTCAATCTAGGAACTGCTTCCTTTGGTACTTATGTTTGAATTACCCATAGCTGGAATTCTCCAACCCATTCCAGATCCTAATTCTCCCACAATTCAGCATATATCACAGACTTATAACATTTCAGTTTCCTTTAAACAACGTTCTCGAATGTACGGCGCTACTGTCATTGTCAGAGGGTCACAGAATAATATTAGTGCCGTGAAGGTAATACATTTAAAGAAAGCTATTTCAGATGTTCTGAGTGTATTAAACTAGGGTGACCATATCTCCCCATGCCAAATATAGAATAGCAAGTGGGAGGGGCAGCTGATGCTTGGGGCTTCATCCTTGCAGTGGGGAAGGGGTCGCTCGGGGCCCAAGCTCCACAGGGCATGGGGAGGGGTGCTGCTGGCACTCTGGGGGGAGGGGAGCTGCCAGTGCTCCAGCCCACACGGGATGGGGAGAGGGGAGCTGCCAGCACTCAGGGCTCCAGCCCCAGAGTAGTTGGGGCAGGAGCCACCAGCCCAGTGGCTTCCGTGGCTCCGAATGCCGGCGGCTCCTGGCCGACCCTGCCCAATTGCAGGGATGAAGTTCAGCCCCATAGCATGCAGGATGGGGAGGGGAGAGGAGCCGCCAATGCTGGAGCTTCAGTGGCTGAAGCCCTGAGCACTGGCAGTTCCTCCCCTGCTACAGGGGAAATACAGGAAAATGGGCCCATTTAAAAAAAAAAAAAAAAAGTCAGGATGCTGTAACAGCTCTTAAATATGGGACTGTCCCAGGACAAATGGGACAGATGGTCACCCTAGTTAAAACTTATTTGCTTAAGTGGTGTCTTGTTGCACAGATCTGCTGGGGAAGGGCTGATAAAACAGGATTTGTGTGTGTACAAAAAAATGTCAGTGTGAAACTTAATTTTATATGTTTACTAAAGTTTAAATTTTAAAAGTCTCAGAGGGATAGTTGTGTTAGTCTGTAACCTAAAAAATGAGAGGTCCTGTAGCACCTTAGAGACGAAAAATGTTATATAGTATCATGAGCTCCCATGAGCATAACCTACTTCTTTGGATGAGTGGAGCAAGAGGCCTCCACTTGCTCCATTCATCTGAAGAAGTGGGCTATGCCCACAAAAGTTCATGATCCTATATACAAATTGTTAGTGTCTTAGGTGCTACAGGACCCTTCATTGTTTTTAAGCTTTTTTAATCTGTTAGGGTATGTCTACACTACCCCCCTAGTTCGAACTAGCGGGGTAATGTATGCATACCGAACTTGCTAATGAAGCCCGGGATTTGAATTTCCCGGGCTTCATTAGCATAAAGCCGGCTCCGCCATTTTTAAAAGCCGGCTAGTGCGAACCCCGTGCCGCGCGGCTACACGCGGCACGGGCTAGATAGTTCGAACTACGTAGTTATTCCGAACTATCTGTACGCCTCGTTCCACGAGGTGTACAGATAGATCGGAATGGCTACATAGTTCGAACTATCTAGCCCGTGCCGCGTGTAGCCGCGCGGCACGGGGTTCGAACAAGCCGGCTTTTAAAAATGGCGGAGCCGGCTTTATGCTAATGAAGCCCGGGAAATTCAAATCCCGGGCTTCATTAGCAAGTTCGGTATGCATACATTACCCCCCTAGTTCGAACTAGGGGGGTAGTGTAGACATACCCTTATAGACTTTAGGTAGGCACTCTGGTAAATGATTAATAATATCACAAAATAAAAATGAAAAACAGCTATACCAGAGCAAGAGGCCAATCTTACCTAACTCCAAAAGCAGCAAATAAGCAAAAAATATAAACAATGAACAAACCAAACCCTAACCACCTGAGCCCTCCCCAAATGCTCAAAAGGTTAACAAATTTGGGCTATTTCATGCAGAGGGGGAAACAGTTAATTCCCAGTTTAAGGGGCTGGTTACTCAGTACGTGCTGCTGACTACCTCTTAAGCAAAAAGCAAAGGATCTCTGGTTTGAGTATTTCTGTGGATGACAGCTTTGGCAGCATGACATAGGGAGAGAAAATTAGGATGTTCAATGACAAATAGTGCTCCCAGAGACCCATTCTGACTATCCTATTATATTTATATTGTACATATTTCTTTTTAATCGTGGATACATTTTCCTCTGTCTCTTTATGTCTGAAAGTTTTAACTTATTTAATAAATACTATTTATATTTAATAAATATTATTTGATGATTATGTTTATTATATGTTACATTAGTTGGCACGGTTGGGGGGGAGGTGGGGGATTTTTTGGGTTTTTTTGGTTTTGGTTTGTTTGCTGGACATGATTGCAGACTAGCCACAAAGAGTAACCAGGAAGGGCAAGAAGTCATACCTGTGCATATGGTGTCAAGTAATAGGTCCCAAGTCAATTAGGGCTTTATAGGCCAAAATGAGGATCAAATCTTACAACTGGATTTGTTCACATATGCTCCTCTTGGCTTCAGTGTGGTTGCATGTGGGCACAGGTTCCACCGATGTGGAACCAGGGGCAGGATTGAGTCCAAGACATTACAGGCCAGATTTTCAAATGTATTTAGGGGCCTGGGATACAGATGGGAGCTCAGTAGCATTTTCCAAAGTACCTAACTCCCTTTGATTTCAGTGGCCAAAAATCCTGAAAACTGTACTTTGTGAACACAGGTCAAGTTATGTAAAGTCCAGTTCCTTGTGAATTAAAAACAAAATTATATATTTTGTTTTTTTACATTAGTAAAACCTGCTTACTTATTCTGGAATGTGAAATGTGTGGTGACTAAAGCAAATGTAATCTGCTTACTTTGTATCCATTGCCTTGTGGTTTGGTTGTTTCTGTGTAATGTGTTCTCTCTCATTTGTCTGCATAGGAAGGAACAGCAATGCTTCTGGAACACTTGGCTGGCAGTCTGGCCTCTGCAATCCCTGTGAGCACACAGCTAGATATCGCAGCACAGCATCATCTCTTTATGATGGGTCGAAATGGCAGTAACATCAAACACATCATGCAGAGAACTGGTGCTCAGATCCACTTCCCTGACCCCAGTAACCCACAAAAGAAATCCACTGTCTACCTCCAGGGCACTATTGAGTCAGTCTGTCTTGCCAGACAATATCTCATGGTAAATATTTTAGTGATATTTGTATAAAAAATGTCAAACAATTAAAAGAAAATACCCAGGTGGTCTGCAGGTGATAAGCTTTCTACTCTGTGGCAGGAGCTATAGTTATAGCTAGAACTCTTGGGGCTGCTGAAAGCAGACATGTGGGGAGAGCCCTTTCTGGAGCTAGAACACTCTAGCTAGAGGAGGGAACCCAGCAGCCCTGTGAACCAGTCAGTCTCCCTGTGATGAAGCAAAAAAAATCAACAATGGTCTTGTAGCACCTTTGGAGACTAACAAAAATATATAAATAATATCATGAGCTTTTGTGGGCACAACCCACTTCAGATGACAAATATGGAGCAAGGGGCCTAGATTTTGAAATATAAAGCAGAAAAAGAGGAAAGGGAAAAGAAAGGTATGGAACTGTTAAAGTGTCCATGCTACATGAGGCTCATCGAGTAGACTGTAAGTGCCTGATACTTAGTCTTTGATGTCATTTGGGTGTTGAATATAATGGCCATTCCAGTTCATGACTTTATTCAAACTGTGCAAGATATTATCAAATTTGCATATGAATGCTAGTCCCACAGATTCTCTCTTGATTCCTGAAATTGTTTTGTAAGAGAATAGCCACCTTTAAATCCATTAATGAGTGTTCTGGCAAGTTAAAATGTTCTCCCACAGGTTTCTATGTGTTACCGCTTTGAATATCTGATTTGTGTCCATTAATCCTTTGTTGAAGAGACTGTCCAGTTTGGCCATTATACATGGTGGAGGGGTATTGCTGTCATAAAGCAGTTTAATGAAACTGACATTGTTAATTGCCTGTTTTTTTTTTCAGGAACACAATATTTCAATGTGTTTTATGCAGAATTATTGGGGATCTCTGGATTTCCTTCACCAGGAAACTTGCTTTTGTTCCAAATCAGAACAAAAGCAATATTGTGAATAAGAATATCCCTTGGGAACCAAATCTCTCTGAGCTTTGGCCAGTTCTAATTATCAATACTATTTTTAACAAAACTAACCATAAGTATCAACATGGACATTAGGTTAGGTGTTTAATAACAAATTATTATTTCTGCATGAGGCATATTTGTGTTTCACCTCACTGAAAACAAAATGGACTCGATTTTTTTAAAATGAAATAACTGATTCAACTAGTCACATCATCGCAATCTTAATGTTTTTAAGCTTTACACTTAATTACAGTTGTTACTAGTGAGTGTTTTAAGGCTTAACTTCAAGCACTTTGTAGTAAAAATAATCTTTAGTATAGTGTTCTTTATACATTAGTCATTCTTTCTGAGTTTAATAGAGGCTTTTTAGGGGGATATGGAGCATGATCTAGAGCTATGACTAGGTGTATTATGTTAGGAGTTGGATTATATCTCATGTAACAAAGAAAATCATATTATCAAGACTAGTTACAGAAATGTGGGAATATCACTTGTAGATGTAAGCTCTTCGTTTTAGTTCAATATATACAATATGTGAATAAAAATAAAAAATGAACTCTGAAATTTTTTTGATAGAAACTTAAGTATTGTACCGTTTTTAACTCTTCTCCCTTCCTTTATCACCCCGACATGCATACTCCAGTCAGCAATGACAGAGAGAATGGCCAGAAAGAGAGCATAAGTGTAGGTGTGTACATGGCTCTCTATATTACAAATACAATGTGCGAAGAGTGACTGTAGACATATAATTTATTCCTGAATTGACATTCTTATAAATATTGAGAGAGAGTTATTCTATGTATAGCATCAGTGAACTTCGAAGAATGCTGCTCCCATTGTCATTCAAGCACAAGAAAATAGAGGAGACAGTAATGCCCTAAAACACTACATAACATATAGTATAAATACCCTTTGCTACCTGGAAGAAAGAAAGATCAGAAACTATTGAAAGGTTTTTAGAATATTGCAAAATTCAGTTTCCTGGTAGTAAAGCTGGTAATTTCTGTAATGCTGAGTTACCAGTATGCTGACCTAAACTGAAAAACTAGCTGAGATTTAGTCTGTCCAACCTGGCATTGTTCCTCATATTTTAAACATTTACTCCCATTTCTATTTTATACCTATAACATTGTTTTTAAAAGCAAGTTTTACATTACAAACATCCATTCATCTTTTATATAGTCAAGTTTCTGTATTTGCTAGATAAGACAAAATTGAACATGGAACATTGAACATTTTAAATTGGAAAAACTGAGTGTGTGTATTACAGGTATTTACTAATGTAAAAGCTTTTAACTACTTTATGCCATGAGTGTGGCCGAATTGCCTGTGTTCCATAAAATTTATTTACAGCCACCTGTCCTGGCTCTCAGAGTTCTGTGCTATTGTTTAGCTCTAATTTACTCCTAAATGTCTACTAAAATCCCAGGTCATGTCTAAACTAGGAAATTATTTTGAATTTACTAAAATCAATTTATGGACTCCCAGTTTAACAAATTGGAACTTCCATGTCTTTGCGATAGGGAAGCATCAAAATTAGTCTGAGGAATTTCTGTTAACGTGGAATTTCTGTTAACGTGAACCTCTGATACAGAGCCCCAGGAAGTGCTCTGGGGAGCTGCAGGAGGCTCCCAGAGGCCAATTAGTTCGAATTAGGGCATTGGAGCATCCATACTAAAGTTTTTTCAGACTTACATGTTTGGTATTAGCATTATTCCTCATGAATACCAGGAGTACAGAGTTTGAATTCCACGGCCCCTTATTCTGGGAATAAGTGTGGATGCATGGCTTACATATTCAAACTTGAGTGGAGGGGGTTATTTAGGACTAAAGGTACGTCTACACTGCAGCGCTAATTCGAACTAACTTAGTTCCAATTAGTTAATTCGAACTAAGCTAATTCGAACTAACGCATCTAGAACTAAAAACTAGTTCGAATTAGTGTTTTGCTAATTCAAACTAGCTGATTTTTGCTAATTCCACACTGATTGGACGCAGGGGGGCATTTAAGGGCAGCTGAAACCGGTTCTGGCAGGGCATCAGGTCAGTAGTTGCTTTGTGTGGCTGCTGTCTGAGGCTATCTCTGAGGCTCGAGCTTAAAGGGACCCCCCCGGACAGCCGGTTCTCAGCTTTTCCTGCTTCCTTGCCAACCTCGCCAAGGGACAGCAAAGCGTTGGTCTCTGTGCCCGTCTGTGTCGGTGCTTCCCTTTGGGGACACCGCCGCAGGTGGCAACATGGAGCCAGAGCTCGCCCTGCACCTTCTGGTGCACTTTCTGGACTTGCTCCTGCAAGCCTGCCACCAATGGCTCGAGGCT